AACCCACCCGCAGTTTCGGCTGGCCAGGGCTCCACCTTGATTGTGACTCTGTGACTTCTTATCTCTGACTGGACTTGACTGCTTAGTGCCAGAATTGCCTGCGGCTTGATTGACATTGACATACTTGCTCTTCGGCAGACTTCGTGCGAGACTGGGGAAAGGAAGGAAGTCCAGCCAGAGGAGGCGTGGTTTAGAAATTTACATCCTCAGTCTCAAGGCTAAAGGGCTAAGTTAACCCATGATTGGCTTCCCTTCGCAGCACCCATAGAAGGACCGTTCAGGTAAGACAACGGTCAATTCTTGTAGCCTGGTGGCTCACCTGAGAGATTGGCCCAAGCTATCCTGGTCTACAAATTATGGTTGGGGATGAACAAGGAGCTGTATCAAAACTGCCTATCCCTGGTGTGTGTGCCCTGCAATCTTCAAGTGTGGTACCAGTTAGCCACAAATGTGGAGCTCCACCTGATGGAGTACTGGGAGCAAGCTGCATGTGAGAACCGGCCCTTTCGAATGCCCAAGAGACACCCAGTGGCCCATGGAAGAAGAGTGGGTGTACCCCCTGCCACAGGGGAGAAGACCCACCAGAGCCTGTGAGTGTGTATCTGATGTGGGAAGGAAGGCCACTTCTCACAAAGAGAAAACATGGGAAGCTCAACAAGTTGTCTCTCCCCAATCCAGCCAAGGGGAGGGAACTATGACCCATAACAAGCCCAGCTTGGTCTTCTACAAGAGCGAAAGCGAAGGGGGAGATGATTCGATGGCCAGTGGCACCATCATCCCTATGATGACCTGGGTGGAGATTTTGGTGCCCTCCCCAGGAATAAGGGAGGGGCCTAATGACCTTGCTGGACTCAGGGTGCACTCAGTGCCTAATTATCTTTCAGACAGTGGAGAAACTAGGACTGAGGCTGAGGAAGTTAAGGCAGCCCATGGAGTTCTCACGGTTAGTTGGCTCCTTTACTGGAGGGGCACCAGCAACTTGCCTAATTAAGCCAGTGAGCCTCAGGCCCCGGATCCACATAGAGACATTTTATTGTGGCTCCTGGAATACCAAGACCATGGAAGAACACGCAAGGCTAGTGAGGGAAGTTCTTGAGAAGTTGCATAAAGCCCAGTTGCACAGAAAGCTATCTAAATCTGACTCTCAAAAGACCAGCCTAGACTACCTGGGGTACCGCATCTCCAAGGATGGGGTGGAAATGGTAAAGTGAGAGTGATCCTAGAATGGGAGTTCCCTTGCACCAAGAGGCAGCTACAGAACTTCCTGGGATTTGCAAACTTTGGCAGTTCATCAGTTCATCCCCATGCTAGCCTAGATAGCCCTTCCCATCACCAGATTGCTCAAGATGGGGAGGAGGGCTGAAGTCTAAACCAAGCCAGCCTTTAAGTCGGTCCTTCGAAAAGCTGAAGTGGCCCTTTGCTTCTCAGCTGATCTTGAAGCACCCAAACCCAGATGAGCCTTTTGTGATCCAGGTACATGCTAGCACTGTGGCAGTTGGGTCAGTTTTACTCCAGAGGAACAAAAAGGGAGCGTTGCAACCATGTACCTTGCAAGTTATCTGATACTGAGAGGCGCTGGGCCATCTGGGAGAAGGAGGCTTATGTGGTCCGATGGGCTTTTCTGACGTGGAGCTAGTTTTTAGAGGATAGTTAAGATTCCATTCGAAGTGTGGACAGTCTATAAGAGCCTGGAGGCGTTAAAGACCCCGAGCAAGCTGTCCCTAAGCAAGTCTGGTGGACCAGGTATTTTAATCACTTCAGTTTCATCCTTTGCTACTTGCCGGCGGGGTGGGGCAAGAATTTCTTAGTAGATGTCCTCTCTTGCATTCCCTAGTACTGCAGTGTCCGAGAAGAAGCAGTTAACTCCATTATCCAATCCAGGCAGCTGGCAGTGCTGGCGCTTATGAGACAGCAGAGAACGGTGTCCCCCCCTCCACAGCTGACTGGGCACCCATTGACGCAGCCACTAAAAGATGCCTTGGGGGCGGAGGATGGTTCCAGAGACATAAAGATGTCCAGATATTAAAGGAGGGCTTAGCATGGAAGGGGGGTAAACTGTACATCCTAATCAGCCAGAGAACATTGGTCCTGAAGAGGAGCCATGATGCAAAACCCCACAAGGCATTTTGGGTTTGTGAAGACCCTTCTTTTGGTAAAGAGACAGCGTTGGTGACCCAAAATGAAAAAGGGCATAGAGTAGACACTTATGTGGCGAGTTGCCTTGTGTGGGCATCCAGGAATCGCCTACCTGGGAAGACTCAGGCTTGCTACAGTTGGAAGCCAGCCCAGCTAACCTGTGGGAGGAGATATCCATGGACTTCATTGTGGAGTTGCCTGAGAGTGCTGGGAACACAGTAATCTGGACTGTCATCGATTTGTTCTCAAAGCAAGCACACTTTGTGGTGTGTCCGAAGATTCCTTCAACCTGGGTCCTAGTCATGATGTTTGTGCAGCCCATCTACAGACTACACGGGGTCCCGAAGCCAATTATCTCAGACAGGGGGGTGCATTCATTGCAAAGTTTCGGCAGGAATTTTTGAAAATGATAGGCTCTTCCCATGGAATTAGCTCTGCCTATCATCCTCAGACCAATGGAACTTCTGAACTCTCCCATTCATTGTTAAAGCTGTACCTGTGCTGCTATGTAAATTATTAACAGACTAACTGGGCTGAACTCCTGCCTTTCAAGGTGGCATATAACAACTCGGTGCAATTATCAACAGACTAACTGGGCTGTGCTCCTCCCTTTTACAGAGGTGGCATATAACAACTCGGTGCACAGAGGCACAGGTTTTACCCCTTTCAAGGTGGTCATGGGGACTGAGTTCGTGCCCATGGAAGCCCTATCCTCAGTGATGTTAGTTGAGTTAGCTGGATACTCTAAAAGGCACATGGGCCACTGTGAGTGAGGTGCTGAGTAAAGCTAGGGAAAGTCAAAAAGTGGCAAGCAGGTTGGCTAAGATTCCCCACCACCCCGAGGGAATTTAGAGTGGGGGACAAGGAGTATTTGTCCACTAAATATCAGAACGTGATGAAACCTTGCAAAAAGTTAGGTGCAAATGGACATGGCCTTTCCAAATCATCCGGATCATAAATCCGATGATGGTGGAGCTAAAGTTGCCAAAACTCCTCAGGCGGATTCATCCAGTATTTCATTGCAGTCTTTTAAAGCCCTTTCCAGAATCTGTACTGAGACCAGTCAGAGGTCAACTTCCTCCTCCCATCCTAGTCAATTAAGGGAGACGACCATTATGAGGTAAAAAAGATTCTCCACTCCAGATGTCACAAGGGAAAGTGACAATATCTAGGACTGTGGAAAGGTTATCCATTAGCAGATGTTGAGTGAGTGGCTGCTCCAGATGTTCAGGTAGTGAGGTTAGTTAAGACGTTTCACACTAAGAGCACTCAGCGAGCCCAATAGGGAAGGCAGCCATAGTTGGATTGTAAATAATAATGTGTATGTATGTTTATTATTGTTTCAGGTCTACCCTTCTTCCGGGGGGTCGGCATGTCAAGACTGACTCGCATTTTCACCTACATTTTACTTCGCTCGCAGCTTGACAGTAACTGGGAGGCGGGGGTGGTGGTGGATGGAATGCAAGGGAGGGAGAAAAGGTATTCAAGCATCCGTCAGCTTCCGTGAGACACTGCTTCCACCTCAAGGACACACCGGGCAGATGTCCCAGCGTGGCTGGCTGTTTCCCATAACAAAATGAACAGAAGTGATTGGTGGACATACTGGATTGAAGGTGGCCCGTAGGGAAAAGGGGGAATTAACTACACTTGCTTTTGCGAGGAAACCCAGAGCCGGTTTAATTTCTTTTATACCAATATGTTTTATTCAGTAAAATTTTATACTCTTGGTAAAATAATGTCCCAGGAGTTTCTTTTTCTGGATTCACCAACTGGACAGTTAACAATGAGCTCAAGAAGGCCATTAGAAGCGACAGCAAATGATTTGCTAAATTTATAAGGAAGGAGATAAATGAAACATTCCTGATATGTATTTTGTATCTTAAGCCCTGAAAGGGGGAATGGGAAGGAATGGCTAAAGTATTGGACTAGTACTGGAAGAGAGGGGGACCATTTTAACCACCACCACCACCCCAGTCACAGAAAGCCCCTGTGTGACTTTCAATCACTTTTTGTCACCCAAACTCAGCCACAACAGAGTTGGGGGAAGGCGGAATATCCAATAGCAGAATAATTTCCTATTTAAACCTGCTGGGAAGGAAGCAGGAACTCTGGCTGAGGCAACTACTTCTCTGGCTGCCTTGGAGATTCAGTGGGGCTGATTCCTCCTTGCAGGGCGTGAAGTTGCATTGGCCACACGTGGCAACCACTGATGGTGTGTGGAGGGCAGTCCAGGGCACACCTGCTCAGATGGGTCTCCCTGCTGTCCAGAAAAGCTTATTGCCAGCTAAAAGGCTGCGGAGGGAGAAGCCACATGGTCGGAACAAACAGAATCAGGCACCCCCGAGGATTTTGCTGACCAATTGTGTGTAAAAGGGTGGCAGTACCAGGAAATGTGTGACAGGGATTAACAGTGGGAGCCACACTCCAAAAGATTAGGCAAGGTAGTAAATTTGTTTTCATTTAAATTTAATTAAACTTGATTGAGCTATTTAAATGGTGAACATGGTAAACAATCCCCTCCATATTTAATTAGCTTTTCTCCCTGTCATATCAAAAGAAAACCGACCACGAGGGGCTCTAGGGCAGGACCCCCTTTGGTCCCTTGAAGATATTTGGCTCGGCCAGGGAAATGGGTCCATCTCGCATCCCTAGAGGCATCAGCTGCAAGTGTAGAGAAGTTGCCCCTCACCCACCCTCTTGGGGGCAAGAAATCTCAAGATGGGCAAAAGTCCATAGAGATTCTCCGTCCTCCAGGTCATGGTTGTCCCAAAGGTGCTTTTTCAGGAGGCAACTGGACTTTCTTGTTTTTCTTTTGAAGACATTTTGCTTCTCATCCAAGAAGCTTCTTCAGCTATCTTGTCAGAGCCAAAGAGGCTTCTTGGATGAAAAGCGAAACGTCTTCAAAAGAAAAACAAGAAGTCCAGTTGCCTCCTGAAAAAGCACCTTTAGGTCAGGCTGTGACCATAATACATTGAAACATGGGTGGTGCTTTATGTGGTCACAGCGACAACGTTTTTGATACCCCTTTCTCTCAGCAGTTGGGCGAAGGGCCAAGTCCGTAAGCCCTCAAGGCTCACCAGGACAGAGGCGCTGATGGAAACCTCTGGGTGGCCCTTGGTGCCCAGAATTGTTCTGAGGAGAATGAAGAGGAAACAGGGAAGGAGTTTAAGGGGGGAGGAAAAGAAATAAAAAGGCTGAGAAGGAGCCATGAAGGCAACTCAGGCAGGTTTCTCTCTATCCCAACCCTTCTTCACGCCACCTACGATCTCAGCCTGGTGTTGCAGGGATGGTTTTGTTTCAGCTGCTTTGACACAGAGAGCAAAATACAGTTTTTCATCACCGTAGGAAAAACAAGAGCTCAGGAGCTCCATCCAAGAGAAATTAACATTTGGAAGAAAATGGCTTCAGCCAGAGCAAATCCACAAGCAAGGAGCGCAACCCCCTTACTTAGCGCAGATGCCCCTGGCGTGGGGGGGGGGGCTGTGGGCTCTCTCCATCATCCAACTTGTGGAGGAAAGTTAATTTTGCCAAGGCGACCCTGGGCTTCTCGCCCACCCCCATCCCCGACTCTGCCAAATATCCCATTATTACAGGGCAGCCGAGGGGTTTAGGCTAAAGTCTGGCTTAGCCTTCCCAGCATACCGTAGACCCCTGAAATAAGCACTTGGCCTTATTTTTGGGGAGGTCTTATTATTTTTGAGGTGCAGGAGTGTGGTCACCTCATGGCTGCTGCTGTGTTGCAATATTTTTGGAGAGGGCTTATTTTAGTGCATGCGCTTACAAGCCGATTGGGCTTATTATCCAGGGAGGTCTTATTTTCAGGGAAACAGTGTAGCTGGTGGGGTCGGGGCTTTGAGGTGCTTAGGAAACCTGGACATGTGGCTAGAACTATATTCAGTCTGGACAACAAACAGCAAAGAGCTTGTGATGTGGTCCAAGACGGCCCTCAGTAACAGAGGGATGGCTGGGGAGGGATGCTATCAGCAAACATCTTCCAAAATGTCAGTAGAGGAGGAGGTGGTGGTGGTGGAGGAGGAGGAGGAGGAGGAGGAGGAAGAAGAGAGGAAGAGGAGGAAGAAAGGAAGAGGAAGAAGAGAGGAGGAGGAGGGAGGATTTCAGGGGGAGGACTACAAACCCCTCGCCAAGGGAAGCACCAGCAGATCTTCTGGGCTTCTACTGGAGCCTGGAGAAGCGTCCAATTGACTCAGCTTAATGGAATTTCATGCTAGGCTGAACTCCGGTAGGTGCCTCTGATGCCACGTATTTCTCAGAAATTAAAATGAATAAATTATGAGATTGCTATCTGTATGTGCCTGTGCGTTTAATGAATTATGTCCCAATGAGTTATGGTCCCCACCCCCAGCTCAATGGGAGGAGGCCGATGCTGTCCCCCCTTCAGAAAGCTCCTGAGTGCTCAGTGGTGATGGAGAGCTATGGAAAGAGGGAGGAAGCCCCGTCCGTCTCTTTTGAAAATGTGTTTGCTGAGTCCAGTTCAGAATTGGGTTCCTGCTGGGACAGGCAGAGCCTATTATATTTTCTTCCGAATTATTTTCAACGAGAGATGCAGAAACAGCGTTTTTTGGCTGTGATAGGAAAGGTTCCAGTAGAGTTTCTAAAGGTTTTCAGGTGCTGAGGTTTGATTGGGGAAAATGCAGGAAGCTAACTTTCACTATCATCAAGATGCAGCTGGAAGGAAAGAGAAGCAATGAATTTCCAAGGCCATTGAACCCTGCAAGTGAGGAAAAAGCACCCCGAGAGCCTTGCCCAGGGTCCAAGAAGGACATTTCTGCAGGCCCCTCTTCTCTCCTGGCATCCCTTGTTTTTGTGGCCCGATTTGTGTTAGTCCTGCCTGTCCCTTTTTCCTTGGACTTTGTGGCTGCTCTATGCTCATCAGTTCCCATGGGGGAGACGCTTGGAAGAAGGGAAGGAGCCTTTTCCTCCCGTTGCTAGGAATTGACCCATGTTCCCCATTTGGGATTTGGAAGCTGGAGTAGCAGTAACAGGTAAAGCCTCCACCACTTCAGGGTCCTGAGTCTCTCTTCTTCCCCACTCGCCCCGCAGGGCTCATGTAGGGCAACCTCTTTCCTTCTCTTTCTCTCCATCGGATGCAGTGGTGGGGAAGAAGGGGTCCATCTTATGGGGGGCATGAATTTGAGTAGTCACACTTTGTCTCCTAGTCTCCACAACTCTTCCACCTCCAGATCCATCACGGAGCCAAGTGGGGTGCAGATTCTCAGGGCTGCAGTGCTGCCAAGGAAGACCCTGGACTGGCATGGGGGTCTTCTTCTCCTTGCCCCCCTGCAATTCCCTGTAAACAACTCTTTTGGAGAGTTGTGTCTGGGTGTGCTTGTGTGTGAGAAAGACAGAGAAAAATCTGATGTCATAGGAAAGCACTCGCAATGGCAACTCTCTCCTCTCAAGGAAACCTGGATGATAAGAAGGATTTCCCCAAGGCTGTCTCGTTGCTGTGAAACAAATAGAACAATTAGAATTTTTTAATTTTATTTATGCTGTCTTCACAAGGCTCTAGAGATTGTTTGGAAATACACATAGTCCTCAACTTACAACAGTTCATTTAGTGATCGTTCAAAGTTACAACAGCACTGAGAAAAATGACTTATGACCATTTTTCACACTTATGACCATTGTGTTCATGTGGTCAAAATTCAGCTGCTTGGCAACTGGTTCATACTTATGACTGTTGCTGTTTCCCAAGGTCATGTGATCCCCTTTTGTAACCTTTTGACCAGCAAAATCCAAGGGGGAAGCACATTGATCACTTCACAAGAATGTTACCAACTGAACAACTGCACCCATTCACTTAACAACTGTAGCAAGAATGGTCATAAAATGGGGCAAAATGCACTTAACAAATATCTCAGTTAACCACAGACGTTTGGGACTCAATTGTGGTTCGTAAGTCAAGGACTGCCTGTAATGGACATTGACTGAGATGGGCGGCCATAGAAATCAAACAAAAAAACAAAGAAATAAATAACCCATCCAGAATCTCCAGGTGTTCCTGCCATCACTGGTGCACGTTGAATGTTGGAATATACAGTTATGACTTCCTTTGCTTGTCTTCATCTGCTTAGAATAGAATAGAGCTGGAAGCTACCTTGGAGGTCTTCTAGACCAGCCCCCTGCTCAAGCAGGACAACCTACACCATTTCAGACAAGCTATCGTGTCACCCCTAATTCTTCTTTTCTTTAGACTAGGCAAATCCAATGCTTTCATTACCTTCATTTCATTGTCTTTTCCTTTTCTAGAGAGCCAGAATTGGTCAAGGTTCAAAAGTTGTGGAAGAAAAGATGCCCAACACCATCTCCAAATTTGACAACAATGGGAACCGTGATCGCATGAAACTGTCTGACTTCAACTTCCTTATGGTGCTGGGGAAAGGCAGCTTCGGAAAGGTGTGTGCAACCACTCAGGTTCTTTTTCATTGCTGACTGGGATCCAGCCTTCTGCTAAACCATAGTTTGCTTGAATAGGGTTTACCAATACTAACAACATGAGGTAGATTAACACACTAAGCCAGTGTTTCTTATCTTTGTCCTCTTTTCTTTGTGGCAGCCCCTCAAATATTGGAACACTATTGTCCTGTCACCTCTAGTCCTTTGTTTCACTAGACTAGCCATACCTAATTCCTGTAATCATTCTTCCTAAATTATTTATTATATGTTATTAATTATATTACCGTATTTTTCGGACTATAAGATGCACCAGAATATAAGATGCACGAAGATTTTGAAGAGGTAAATTTTAAAAAAGGTTTTGCCCTCTCCCGCCCCCAGGAGCATGCAGAGAGTTTGGAAGACCTGCAGAGTGCTCCTGGGGGCTGGGGCGGGCAAAAACAACCCCAATTTGTGAAAAACAGACCTGTTTTCACTCATTTTTGTCCTCCCCAGCCTCCAGGAGCACTCTGCAGGCCTCCCAAACCCTCTGTGCGTCATTTTTGTGAAAAACAGGGTGCACGGGGTGGGGTTTTGGTTAGCCAAAAATGCTATATTCAGTGTATAAGACGCACCCAGATTTTCACCCTCTTTTGGGGAGGGAAAAGATGCATCTTATACTCTGAAAAAATACAGTAATTATCTTGCTGCAATCAAGATAATTCATATACACACAATTAATCTTCATGATAATTAATATATATACAATAATCTTCATGAAATTTTTACAATTGGTTATCTAAAATCCCAGCAAAAAACGGGTTCATCTGAATATTGACCTGTAATTTTTTTTTATTATCATCATTTATATTTGTCCGCAGTATGTTTTTGCTTTTTCACAAATCCATCATGCATAGTAAAATGACCTTTCACATTTTCACATTTCACATTTCCACCATTAACCATTCTATTATAACCATTCTATTATACATCGTAGATAATTTCTCTGATGTCATATAACAATAGCGCATCATTTTATTAAAAAATTATCTTATAATACAATGTTTTGTATATTATAACCAAAATTCTTACCCGTTTTATCTTGCACTTTTAACTTGGTTTTTTTTTCCTGTTTCAAGTCTCAACAAAAGTTTATACGCTTTAGCAATCACATGTTCATTATTTGTGCATAGTTCAGTCTTGAATTGTGTCTTAACATTGTTCAATTCCTATTACTTTTTATCTATATTAAATCTTTCTCTTGACTGTGTCTGAAAACCATTGAAATCTAAATCTCTCTGCAGTCAATTGTTCTCTTGATTTCCTTAAGCTCTCCATATTCCTACATTAAGAAATCATTGAGGTTTTCCCAGCTGATGTGGAGGAGCAGCCTTTTTCTGGGCAGGAAACAATAGAAAATACTGGGCCTGTTTAGTACATTAACAGCTTTCAAGATTAATGAACAGAAGGTAAAGATGTTAACAAAAATATGAAAATGGAAGATCAAACAGAATGGATGAATAAAATTGGTTTTAAGATTGAGAAGAAGATTAAATATCTGGCTATCATTACTATGACAAACACTAACTGATTGTTATTCCAAAATAATTATGTTAAGAATGAATGAAATTAAAAAAAAAAAAGATAAGTTAAGATGGGAGAAACCACAATTGTCATTACTGGGGAGAATTTCTGTGATAAAATGAACGTCCTGCCTAGAATTATTACTTTTGTTTGTTTCAGGCAATAACTCTTTTGACAGCTGATGTACCATTTAAACCAGTGGTAGTCAACCTGGTCCCTACCGCCCACTAGTGGGCG